CCAACGCTTTCACAGCGCTATCTCCGAAATCTTCATTCCCGCTGTACTCTGCAGGCCACAATTTGAAATTCAGAATCCATGTCTTCTGGAGAATTGCACTGGCCATGTCAATAAATCTTTTGTTTAGACTTGAAATCAGTGATGTCAGCATATTACGCCTTGCATTCTTGAGAGTGTTGCTTCAACCACTTGGCTTCTCTCCTTGGAACATGGTTGTGTCACCTTCCATAATCCTTCTCAGGCTGGGTCCTGGCCAAGTCAAATATTTGTTAAGTACATCAACTGCAGTCTGAATTTCATTCACGATAGCAGAAATATTGGTTTGACCGTGCTGGAACAGCTCTGAGAGGCCCCCCAAGGCACTGCACCACATCCAGTAGGATGTGAAGGTACTGGACTATGTCAGCACTGGTTAGAAGGAGCAGGTAGTTCTTAGCTTTTCTGGATGAATCCTTGTGGTATGCAGGATCATCAGGGTTCTGTATCTGCTGCATGTGGAGTACAATAGCCTTGTAACTCTTCGGTAGATGCTCCAATGCCTGCAGCATATGCGGGAGCCACCATGTACCACCCACACGTGTTGGAACCAGAAATGGTACCCGCCATATGTCATGAGCACGCTTCAACATGCTCCTGTTGAGAGAACTCTTTTCATAGAACATGTATATGCCTAGCAGCAGTAAGTCAACCTTTTTGGCGAGTGGAACATCCTTTACTGCATCCTTGTAAGCGGGTTCATTTTGAATGTATGTGAATTGGTTGTCAAATTTCGTGCGCGTTATTATTTTTCGATATCTTGTTTGTATCGGTGATAATCTGAATATGTACTTGAAATTGTTGTTGATAATAAATGGTGTGATTGTTGATGGAAAGGCAGTTTTCATCACTTGTCAAATGTTTTTATTCTTGCCTATTATACATTCAGCTATTAAATTTCGCTGTTATTGCTTTTATATATTATGTATAGAAATTAATTCCTCAATAATAATTGTATATCTACATAATTAGCCTGCTTTTTTTTATTACAATGCACGGTTTCCATACACCGACATGAATAGCAGTGGTATCTGTGTGTGACGTCATACAATCCCTGAACCAGCTTGGTGTTCTAGGTGGCATTGCACCAACTCATTTGTCCAGTTTTATCACACTACATAATATCATTGAGTGTATATATTTTATTTTAATTTTCATATAAAGTGTTATATACAGAAAGTGGATAGCCTTTCCGCTTGCAATACCAGTGATACAATTAAGATAACTAGCATTAATAGTGTATTCTCTATATGAAGCTCTTATACACATTGAGTGTGTCTTACCACTGTCATCAGCCCACTCACCCACTGGGCGATCCCAGATCAGCAAAATAGTAAAATCTTGTCGCCCTTATGATATTTTGGTCGCCCTATGTGAATTTCTACCCCTGAGGTTTAGCACCCACTCCCCCTGAATTTTTTTTGAAATCTGACCAATATCATGAGCATTTTGAGGGCATATTGAAGCCATGTGCAATTGATATTAGGAGATATTCTGAGGTCAATAGTAAGTGCTTTTTACTCTACAAAAGCGTTCGAGTACAATACTGTATTAAAGTAAGAATTATTGAACTTTACTGATGAAAAGAGGGGGTCTGGACCCCCCTGGATCTGCCCATGTACTGAGGTCTTTCCCAACATTGTGATTTATCTCTGAAGCTTAGCACCCCACTACTAGCATCTGCTGCTTGTGAGTGTCTATTCAGGCTGGGCTTCTTATTTATTATTTAATTAATTTATTGCACCCGGTGGGGGGGGGGGGCGCGACAAGCCTAGTTACAAGACCATGTGGTCAGACATTAATACATTGGTACTTGTGTCTCACAGGACAAGCTATGACTTGTGATATGGAGACAATATTGATATAATTTTAGGATAATGTGAGTTAGCACCCACCAAAGCGTGGGTGGCGAACAAGAATTAAATTAAATTACTGTATTACAAATAAGTAGGTGGTGACATACTGTGGTAGGAGGTCCCTGACAGTCAAGGCAATACAGTAGTGTTGAAGGGTGTTAGTGTAGGGACAGTTGCAGAGTTTACAGGAAGAGAAGTGGCATTGTTTTCGTGAGTGACGATGGTTCTACATAAGAAACTGAAGAAAATAAGACCCTGGTTGTACCTGTAGGGAACTTGATTAAAAAAAATGAATACCTATATGTATGTTTTAAGTAATGTTATTTAATGTTAATAAATGGAACACGAAGTAGCTAACCACTAATGGTTAAGAAATAAAGCGAGACGATTGGGAATGCCAACGTTTGAACAGTAAGTACGTACATGTGAAAACATATCGTCATTTCTCTACATATGAATATGAAAGCAACACTTAATTTCTGTTCATATATGATTTAAATAATATTTACGAATGTAAAACAAAAATTCTACTCGCCAATGGTGGTAAAATCTAAAGCAGAAGGACAGCCAATGAATATTGTGCGAGCTTTTACTCAGATGACAAAGTCATCAGGTTCAACTCTGGCTGAAGCTGTAGCTTTCCATAAAGCTGTTGCTGAAACTGTTACTGAACCTGAAGTTGATGTTGAAGCTGCTTATGATGCTGAATTTGATGGTGTAGCTGAAGTTGATAGCTTAGGCCTTCAAATAATAAAGCTGTCGAAAGAACATTGCACATTTGCTTTCTTTTCTCATTATACATCTTTATGTAGAGGTCATTTGCATTTACTTAAATTTTAATGCTTTGTACTGTTAATGGATCCATTTCAGAAAATAAGTTCATTGCTAGCTCCATATAATATCCACAGACCTCTCACCTTTTTCATATCGTTATTACACATCTAGTTTCTCGGCTAAGTTTATACTCTTTCTATTAGCTTTTTAAACAACACTACCATCACTTGCTCTCTTGCTCATGTTTAATAGGGATGGTGTAAGAAACCTGAGAAAGTTTTTCTCCTGTTTCTGTTCCAGATGCGTGAAAACAAAAGGCTTGCCAAGCTCCGACTGTTGTTTACCACTTATTAGCAAGGCAGCTTCTTTGCGCAAGGTGCTCTTAATTTTTTTTACAGTATATATTTTTTTATATAATACATATTGGGATTTAGTTATTATTTATATGAAAATGTAATTTAATTTAATTTTTTTTATATTTTGGTCGTAAATACGAATGAAATAAGGACGTAAATTGAATTGGGTCCTAAATTAACTAGGGGTTTAAATATGAAAAGTTGTTGGTCGAACTGTTGTTATCGGAGGCTTTACTGTAATTATCCTAAGGGTAAACACATATAGGGAATACAGTATACATTTCTTTGCACACTGGTAAAAATGTAACTCCCCACCCCCGTCAGCAAATGTTATTCGTGGATTTGGTATTGGTTATGTAACGACGGATGTGATTGGTAGATGGGTTTGCTAAAGGTCATATAGGTTGGCTGTTTGGAGACGGGTTACCATAGTGGGTGTTGGAACACATTTCCACAGCTGTACAATAAGTTCATACTTTTTTGAATTTTTGCTCTTTAGTTGAACTATGAGTGCAAAAAAAACATGTTGGACTCCTAGAAGCTACAACTACTGTACAGTAGTTCCTCGGTTAACGAACACAATTCGTTCCAGAAGGTCGTTCGTTAACCAAAACCATTGTTTCAATGGGATTTTGGGTAATTGGTTCCAGCTCACCGAAAATTACATAAAAAGTAAAAATAAATGCAGTAAAGTACACTTACTTTGAGGTGTGTATGTAGAAAGCTCCTGGTTGATGATGATGATGGGAATTAGAAGTGGGGGTGGAGGAGAAGGGAGAAGAGAAGGAAGTGTGGGTGGAAGAGAAATCACCCGATGCTTCATGCCGTCATTTCACCCACAAAATTTTAAGTTCACTAGGTATAATTCAAGTTAATTTTCTTTAAATCAACACTGTTATGCACTATATATTGTCAATATGTAAAATAAATTTCAGAAGACCAATAATTGTACTGTAAAAATGTACAAATAGTTTATGTTCAAGAGAGTCTCAAGCACGATGTTACCTCCACTGAGCAGAGACACAAACCGACGCCATGCTGGGTGAGTCAAGTGGCTGTTTGGCGCGCTAAAAACTAGTTTCTTGTACTTCAATTATGTTAAATAATTGTTAAAATGACTAAAAAATTTAATATAAAACTTGGAAAATTATTGAATAGCACAACCTTCTTGATATTTACTCAAATGGGAACGAATTTAAGCCCTAGAACCGATTACTGTATTGGCGGACTACTATTCCAGCTGGTGAGCAAGCGAAAACATGTTGAGAGGAATTCGTTAACCGAATTGAGATTCTTATGGAAGGTAATTCGTTCCCGAGGCGTTCGTTAAACGAGGGATCACTGTACATGTATAGTTCATTAGGGGGATAAAGGATGCCTTGGGTAAAATAAATGTTTGGGAATATGATTTTGTTGATTTCTGGCAGCGATTTTCTTCAGTGCCCCCTGGAAGTCATTGCTGAAACATTAATTAATGTACTGTACAGTACTTACATACAATATTTTCTCTAAGACTAGCAATATCTGGTACAGTACTTCTGTACCATGCTGTAGGGTCATGTAATTTAAGGGGCTTTGTATTTTAGCATATTTTACTTTGATTACTCCTATTAGTATAAGATTTTTTCTTGTTCTGATGATTGCTAATGGAAGAGTGGCTCTCAAGTAGATAAATTATTGTTAATTGCCTGTGGAATTTGACTAACTTATAACCTGCAGTACATGGGGTAGACACTGTCCAAGGTTGTAGATGTAGGATAGTCAATTAAGATACAAAATTTGTTGGCTATTAATTACATTAATACACATTTGTGTGCTGTATGCATCTCTGTCTTTTGCTGAAAGTTTGGAAGACTTGTTGAATGGCTTGTGATAAGGTAGGGTGTCTTGGTCAGTTGGTTATGGAATAGTTTTCTGAGATATATAACAGTTTTTACTTTAAAAGATATGAAATTTTGAATTATCTTTGCATTTTCAGGAACTTCAGGACCTGGGGAGGGATCCACCAGCACAGTGCTCAGCAGGTCCAGTAGGTGATGATTTATTCCATTGGCAAGCCACAATCATGGGCCCACCAGAGAGTCCATTCCAAGGAGGAGTATTTTTCCTCACCATTCATTTTCCCACTGATTATCCTTTCAAACCTCCAAAAGTGAGTAAATATGTATGCTTTGACAGCTCTCATGGCATTTCTACCACATAGCTAGGTTATAAATTTTCTTCTTACAATATTGGAAGAACTTGTAATTCTATATGATTTACAAATTACTTTATTAAGGATTTTAATCTTATCTTTATAGCTGTTAAGGAATGAAAGTGCAGAATTTAGAAGTAGCCTGGTATAGGGGCCATTATTAAGAGTATATATATATATATATATATATATATGGTGAGTTTTACAACTTTGTACTGTACCTGAAGATAGGATTGTTATATTGAATAGATGAATTTGAAGGGATTGATTGGTCAGTGCAGCATGGGATATTGGTGACTGCAAGGAGGAAAACAAGTGGATTAAACAATTTATTGTTGAAAATGAGTACAGTACATAAGGAGCAGGAGCCGAGAGTACAGTACAGTACTGTACCGTACAGTATACTATACCATATTTGCCGGCATAAAAGATGCACTGCTGAATAAGCTGCTTTCCTATTTTATGAGGATTTGAAAAAAATTCAGTACACTTCATATATTTATAGGACTATACTTTGTAAAGTGTTTTTTAGGGGAAAACATATTTTGTGCATATAAATAAAGTAAAAAAAAACCCAAGTTGGACTACAGTATATGGAGCTCAAGCTAGTCCGACTTATCCGAAAGTTGATCTAATGTGGTAATTTCAACCACCATTTTGCTGAAAAATGACATCCCAAAACAATATTAAAGTTAACAATAATTATTTACAATGTACAGGTACTTACATTGTAACGGATGAATTTTGAGATTATTGTAGCTGAAACACGCACGCACGCATGCCAAACACGCACGCCACACACACACACACACACATGCATGTGCACACACACACACACACGCTGCACGCACACATGTACGCCACACGCATGCACGACACACGCACGCCACACACGCACGCATGCCCCACACACACTCTCTATCATATACAGTACTGCGTGGCATACCACACACACACACACCACCCTCCACTATGCACTAATGCTTGTCATCCACACACACTTCCACTCGTCACACAGTCCTCCACCATGCTCTAAACCTCACTATCACTCATCATACAGTCGTCCACCATGCACTGATGTTCATTGTGATGCCTCCCATACTCATTTCCACTTGTCGCACTGTCCTCCAACATTCGGTTAGGCTTTTCAGCTACAAAACATTGTCATGCATAATAACACTGAAAAAAATTATAAGTGGCAACATATCACAGTAGAAGTGAGAGAGGCTCTTTCTTGATGGTTTAGGCACACTCACTTGAATGGTTTAAAAACAGTCACTAATTTGTGGAAATCATTCGGGCAAGAGAGAAAAGTTAGTCGAGTATAAGGAACACAACTGGGGAAACTTTGTACTGTATTCGAAGAGAACACCCATTGGATAAAAGCACAAGCTTGCTCATCACTCATTGTCTGGGATGCAAACAACTGTTGCTGCACTGTATTATACTGTGCTTGAGTATATTAAAATATACTTAAATGACTACTGATTTATTCAGTGGAGTATAGCTGTTAGATCATGACACAATTTCTTGGATGAAGGTGGCAAGTTTAGACTAACTTCTTACAGTACTGTAATAATTTCTGGGTTTGGATACTGTCTCTTGACAAGAAATTAGACCTTGAAAGGCCTTCGTGGTTTCTGTCATCTGTATTATGTTAGGCCGTGGATATTTTGCTGTGACTGGCTAAGTTCCTACTAACACTATCTTACCATGAGTGTGCTCTGATTGGCTAATCGTCCATTATCGGCAAACAAAATGGAAAGATGTGCACTGTGTTCATTCGAGTACTTTAACCGATAAAATTACCCAGAGTATTAGTTGTTCAATGAGAGCAGGGCATTGAAGTAGAGGGAAAATGTGGGGCAAAATACTTAAAAAGAGCACCAAACAAATCTTTTAAAACCTTACCTAACATTTCCTAACTTGTAAAAGTGTTAAGAATCACTTTTGAGAGTGGATCCCTTCTCATCTGATCACCGAAAACAACACCGCCACCATCACCACATACTAAACACCGAAAACACCACCACCACACACTAAACACCACCACCACCGCATCCTAAACACCGAAAACACCACACCCCATACTAAACACAGAAAACACCACCACCCCATACTAAACCCCGAAAACACCACCACCACCACATACTAAACCCCGAAAACACCTACCACCCACTACTAAACACCGAAACACCACCACCCCATACTAAACAACTAAAACACCACCACCACATACTAAACACCGAAAAACACCACCACCACATACCAAACACCGAAACACCACCACCACATACTAAACACCGAAAAAACTCCACCACCACCACATACTAAACACCGAAAACTCCACCACCACCACATACTAAACACCGAAAACCCACCACCACCACATACTAAAACACCGAAAACACCACCACCACATACTAAAACACTGAAAACACCACCACCACATACTAAACACCGAAAACACACCACCACACATACTAAACACCACACCACCAAACATACTAAACACCAACACCACCACCACACTAAACACCAAAACACCACCACCACATACTAAACACCGAAAACTACCACCACCACCACATACTCAAACACAAAAACACTACCACCACCACATATACTAAACACGGAAAACACCACTACCACCACATACTAAACACGGAAAAACACCACCACCACCACATACTAAACACTTGAAAACACACCACCACCACACATACTAAACACGGAAAAACACCACCACCACCACATACTAAACACGGAAAACACCACCACCACCACATAAAAACACTGAAAACAACACCACCACCACATACTAAACACCACCACCACCACCACATACCAAACACGGAAAACACCACCACCACCACATACTAAACACCACACCACCACATACTAAACACACCACCACCACATACTAAAACACCACCACCACCAAAACACAAAACCACCACCAGATACTAAACACCACCACCACCACACCACAATACAATACCACCACATACTAAACAACACCACCACCACATACTAAACACCAAACAACACATCACATACTAAACTGAAACAACACCACCACCACATACTAACACATACTAAACAGAAAACACCACCACCACATACTAACAAAAACACCACCACCACTAAACACCAACACCACCACCACATACTAAACACCGAAACACCACCACCACATACTAAAACCCAAAACACCACCACCACATACAAACACCGAAAACACCACCACATACCACTGAAACACCACCACCACCACATACTAAACACGGAAAACACACCACCACCATACTAAACACGGAAACACCACCACCACCACATACTAAACACGGAAAAACACCACCACCACCACATACTAAACACAACACCACCACCACATACTAAACACGGAAAACACCACCACCACCACATACTAAACACAACACCACCACCACCACTGAAAACACCACCACCAACACTCACCACACATACTAAAACAAACACCACCACCACCACCACATACTACCACCACCACATACTAAACACAAAAACAACACCACCACCACCAAACACAACACCACCACCACATACACACCACCACTATAACAACAACACCACCACCAAGAACAACACCACCACCACCACATACTAAACACCACCACCACCACATACTAAACACCACCACCACCACATACTAAACACCACCACCACCACATACTAAACACCACCACCACCACATACTAAACACCACCACCACCACATACTAAACTCCAAAAACACCACCACCACATACTAAACAACACCACCACCACATACTAAACACCAAAAACAACACCATCACATACTAAACACCGAAAACAACACCACCACCATCACATATTAAACACCGAAAACACCTCCACCACATACTAAACACCGAAAACATGAATGAGGTAAAACAAACTTATAGTTTAAGGATTTTTCAGGGTTGGGAAACATTCCTTTTTTCTTTTTAGTATTTTGCCCCATATTTTCCCTCTACTTCAAAGCCCTGTCTACATTGAACGAGTAATATTGTTGGTGATTTTATTGGTTAAAATATACATTTGATGGAAACGCCATAGAAGAAATTGCTTTCGGTTTTTTCTCTTTTCTCCCTATATACGACTCATTATATAAGTAGGTGTTGGCAAGTTCTAAATGTTTACCAATCAAAGCGCACTCACGGTAAAATAGCGTTACTAGGAACTTGTCTGGCTATGACAAAATATTCACTGCCTTTATGTTTGTTAATTTGTTCTGAATCTGAATGAATGCTTTTTTTTTTACGGGTATTACCCCACCCGGACACAGGTCACCGACCCTCATCAGGGCCCGGGGGGCGAAAACGTAATAATAATAATAATAATAATTCAGATAAGTCTATCCAAATTTTATTCTCCACCACAACTAACTTCTGTACAAACATCTTCCTCCTCTTCCTGCATCACAACCAACCTCCGCACTGTTACCTGCCCTCCTCCCTGTGTGATGAGTCCATCCGGACACTTGAATGACCTGGTTAATTGGCTCATCCAGACACCTCTCCCCCCTCCTTATTAGTACAGATTAGTTTAGTTTGTTTGTATGGGAAAATGGTAATACAGTAGAATCCTGGATATCAGGAATCAATGCAACTGGCAGATTTAACTAATTGGTGACAAAATGAAATGCCATATTTCTCGGCTCATATGCTACAAGTGATAAGATGCACCCTATAATTAGCAAGGTATATTTTGGAAAAATAATTTTTGTGGATTTAATAGCCTACTGTACTGGCAAGACCAAGTCCCAGGTTATATATTGTCATATTTCTCACTACCACAGCTCACTTAACACTTTATGGACCTAATATCAAACATTTCTTGGTATTTATTAAATTTACCTAATTTAGTACAAAAGGATACAAGTGCAGCATGCCCTTCAAATTCACGGGGAGGGTT